TGCGAATTTCAACCTAATAAATTAATAAAAAACGCAAGCCTGAAAAATATGTGGGATTTTCTAAGGTAAACGTAATATAATGCAGGTTAAAAAATTTTACAAGTACTTCATAAATTCCTTTTACTTCTGGTTTTGGAAACGAATGGCAATTTAATGATATCCCGTGGGTAATATCAGGCATACTTTAAAATACTTAAATTATCCAAGCTTTTGTATATTCGAACGATTTTATGGGAGATGAAAAATTTTAAGAATTTCTTACAGCTAATTCAGAAAATCATGACGCATGTAAATAAAAAATTATGACAAAAAATCGGCTTTTCAGCGATACTTTGAAATTTGAATTACTTGTGGCACTTATGATCTGGAAAAAATATATAAGGGCACTGGAATAGCTTTAAATTCCGGGATATGTGAGATAAGTAGGCCAACAATCTCAAGTATCAAATTTTGTTTTAAATGTAAAACGCAGACAGAATTATTTATGAAAAATGATATTAAATTTTATGTAAAAATAAAGGAATAGAGATATAATTTCTATGACTTAAAATTATATTAAAAATAGTTAATAGGAATTTCATTTAATTTAATTGTTAAAATCTTAAATCATGGGATTAATCAGCAATGTTTGTTTTTCTTTTTGCTTTAAAAGACATAAAGATATGCGAGAAAACCTCGTTGAAAAGATTACTAATAAGCGCTGCACTTTTGTTAGCCCCATATTTGTTTTACCTTTCTATGGTCTACATCTCGATGTGGACTGAATTAATTAAGGTAAAACAAATAAATGCTATCTAGGTTTCTCTAATAAAATTCTGTCCAAAATAACCTCGGGAATTGAACCTCAGGGTATCAGAGCCATCTTTCTCAGCCACTAAAGGTTTTCTGAAAATTATCAGATAAATTGCGAATAAAAGCCCTTGCGTTCAAAGAAACAGCATTCTAAAAGATCCATTCCAAGTCTGGTTTACCAGTACGAGGTGAATTTCGCTAACCAACGCATCTTCCAAGATGGATTATAATATGAGATTTACCTCGCAAACAACATGATTAAAAGCTACTTCGACGGTCAAGATTGCTGATTCAGTAGCTTTGAGTTATAGCATTTCAGAATATTAGTTTTGACTTTGTTTTCATTTTTATGAAACATTTAATTCGAATTTGATTTTGAGTTTTCAATCTATACATCGTCTGTGTCTGAATTCCGACTAACTAAGATGACGTACACCATCTACAGGAAAATGTTTTTAATACCTTTCCTAAAATTGAATCCGGAATTAAACTAAGAAATATACCAAATTAAAATCTGATTTTAACAATTAAAATATAATAAATAGACATTTCTTGTCATAAATATTCATTCAATAGTGAGCACTCAGTACATAGCACACAAAAACAAGTAGAAGAAAAAATTGAATTTCTTAAAAATAATAAATAATCAAGACTCAACACCCGTAGATATATGCAATCTTGTGTGATCACTTAATTCTTTTTTTTTCAATATTTCAATATTTTCAAGATATAAATTATTTTCTTCCTTTAAATAGAGCTTAAAAAATTGTAACCCTTTCGGTGTATGAGTAATATGCGCAGAGTTACATGGTACAGCACTTTGCATCATAAAATTTATCACATTTCAACTGGAAAGTTAATAGAACTATTGAGACATTCTTCCTCAGAGAATGAAAACGTTAAGAGATAGAAAATATCAAGATATTTTGCATTGCTTACGATTGTGCTTTGCCTTGTATTTTAAGCGGTTCTTAATAAATTTTATTCTTCGACAGAGTATACATGGTTTTTAGATATTATTGATTGTGCTTTCTGTACCTTTAAGAAACAACAGAAAAAAGACTGACGAAGATATTCGTTAGCCTTAAATACTTTCCGCTATCATTCTTCATTGCTTATTATAAATATAAATAGAAGTGAGAAAATGCATTTCTTATTGTATTGTTTAGTTATCAGAATATAGATCTTCATTAGCTGGCAATGCACTTATTCAGATTGTAATACAGATGAATACAGTTTTAAAAAGAAATATATTTTATTGTTCAAAACAGGAAGATCTAATTTATCTTAATTAAATGTGCGGAATACTTTTTATGTTACAGTTTTTATGTTATCCTCCACCTACAATGGATTCCAAATCTTGTTCTTATCGACAGAAATGAATTAGCTGATGAGTTAGCTAAGAAGGGAATAATCCTCCTGCAAGCACACGCTCTAACCTCCCCAACATCGACCAAATGCACCATTGAAACCTCAGTAGAAAGGAACATCAAGAACTCAAGAGAAGATCTTATTTTCAAAAGGCCCCATTCCAAGAACTCCATCCAGAGCAGTCACGATGGTGGAATTCAGGGTCCGGCACGACCTCTTTAGTCTAACATACAGCGACACATGCCTAATCCGTCAGGATGGAAAAATGGATGGAGAGTATCTGCGAAACTGCAGTGAGCTTGCCAACATACCGAGTTCGCAACGTACCGTCACGTCCAGCCTATACTAGAAAGCTTGTTGCCAAGTGGGAGGACTGCCCAGGGCTGGCATTGGCTAAAATAAAGTAGCTTTTTATGTTACTTTTCTTTGGTTAATTCACGATAATTTTTAGCTTGCAGTGGCGGGTAGACATTAAAGAGTGCGGAGAGTATAGTGGCAAAAAAAATTAATAAATAGGACGCATAATACACGACGAAAGGAATAAAAAATAGGCTTTATCGACAGAATGGCTTTAGTACAAAACACCGTCTGTTTAAGACAGAAAACAACAGATCAAAGAGCCTTGGTAAGGGATATGACATCCTCCAACCGCAGTGGTTGTGTTGCACCGTCTGCCGATACTCAACATCATATTATCTAACAGTTCTGGGGGTAATAGTTCCTATTCTTCAAAAAGCATTTGCTTCAGTTGCTTGATGTTCTCCGGCGGACAAGATCGTGCCGTTATGCATCTCCTTAAACTATTCCACACGCGGTCAACGGGATTTAAATCAGAGAATCACGTTGGCCAATCCATGAACTGGATATCATCACTTTCCAGAAGCTTCTCAACAGAATGAGTCCTGTATAGCCGTGCATTGTCATCCATAAAAAACAAAGTCCGGTCAAATGGCAGCTCAGAAAAGATGGACGTGGGGGAGGATAACTTCATTATAGTAACGATCTGATGTTTTGTTGTAGCAAAATGTTTTGTACACTCTCAATTGAAAGTGAGTGTACTGCACGTACAGTCTCACTTTCAATTGCAGAAAGAATGCCTGGAAATGCGCCTTCCAGTCTTCATTTTTTCTTGCACTGCTAGAACTTACTCCTGTTTGCGTGCTCTAGCGTACACTTTGATGCCATTTTGCTGATATTTGTATATGCATCACTTTTCCGCTGAGTTGGTGTGTCATTGAAATAATCGCAAAAGCAATCTTCAATAATTTCATGGTTGCATGTTGAAAAATGAATTTATTTCTTAAGTTTTGTACACTAGTGTACATCCATTCCATTCAGAATTGGAAATAAAATTCGAAAAAGATAAGGCAAATTAACAACTCTGTGAAACCAGCAAGAGAAAATGATAAGCGAAAACGCGAGAGCTGAATATGTGTCCTATAAATGAAGAGAGGAATTCGGCGATATTCATTTAATTCAATATTTAATTACTTAATAGCTTTCCTCCCGAAACTGTTTCCTGCTGTCATCTGTAATTAATCAAACCTCTACGCAATTAATAAAATTTACGACGACATTTATATTAGAGCAACATTACGTTTAATTAAATGACTTCTATTCTCATCAGTAATAGGATTTAGGAAAAAAAATAATATTTCGGAAACACTGTGTAGAATATACGGAGTGGTTGTTGCCTCCTGTAATGGAATAAAACAAACTGGATTAAATTATGGTTATAGCAGTCCTTCTTTAAAAGCATTTTTATTGTTATCCGTTTAAACCTGGAATTTTAATTTAGGTTTAAACCGAACTGTATTAATGACAGCTGATTACATCAGAGAATTGAAGCTCGATGACTGCCAGCTTAAAACAGTTCATCCTGTATATTCTGGCTTATAAAACGCACTTTTAATACAAAAAATAAATAATATTAATAAATAAACTTAAATAACATTAATAAATGTTTTTCCACAAAGCCATCCCTACACTTCCGGAGATAGCCATCGTGTGCTTTGTTATATCCAAAGAACGTAACTTAACCTTCAAAGAAAACACTTACGAGTTTTGGGATTACCCCTATTGTAAATAGCTAATTTATTCCTATCAACATATTTTAAAGCTGTGGAATTTTGTGATCGAGAATTAAAAACTCGTTTCCATTAAAAAATTATTCATTTCAAGAAGTCATTAAGTTATCTTAATTTAAAAGACATGTAACTTAGTCTACAATGTTCGATAAATACATAGTTAAGCATTTAGGTAAAAACCATTATGTAATGTGTGAAAGATCTTTACGTATATAGTTGAGTCATTTATTGGTTATTGACAAGTGCTTTACAAAACTTAAAGAAATGTTTCCACATCTTGTCAATCCTTATTCAATCAAGAAATGGTTATGTTACAATATTCTTATTTTTTATTAGTCTTGGAGTATACAAGACATACATTTTGTGTGAAATTTAAATCTCATTGTCTTTCTTCAGTATAAAATGCGAAGTAATGCTTTTTTGACTGTAGTTTTTCTTTAAACACAATGAAATAAATACATAAACAAATCAATTAAGGTATTCTTATTTGCTTATAGGTAACATCTCCAGGATTTGAATAGCCTAATAACCCAATTATCCAAATATTTCTAATATTCAAATGGACTGTTATCATAATTATTTTGGATAACGGGAGTTTTAATGCATTTTTTTGAATCAAATTTCTTTAATAGTCTTGATACATTCATTTAAAGTAACATAATGTATATGAACTTCAATAAAATAATCTCATTTACGTAATGAGTGTTTTCCGCTTTTCCCGGAAGCCATTAAAGCGATAAAACAACTTCCTTTAAGTCTAATGAAGAGTTAGTCCATTTTAAAACATCGATTTCGAGTTCACTCTGAATATAAGTGCGACATTGGTTTTGTTGAAAATGAGGATTTTATGTTTTGCGTTATTCCTCGGCATAACGGGTAAGAAGCGTTTATTGTTTATTATTTGTTTAAGTTTAATTCTCAGTTATGGACTCATAATGCATTGGTATTTGTACAGCTATTTTATTTTAGCAGTTGCGTGAGTTAACTTTCTGAATTTCCGTAATAAAATTTCCGTAATTCACTTTCTGAAGGAGCTAGTTTTCAAGAGTTTTCCAGCAATTTCCCAAGGAGTTACACAGATTTCTTGGAATGGTTATACGAATTCCGAAACCACCCTCGTATGCACAGTTTTAGAACTTGGATGCATAAAACTCCACAGGGTATGATTATACGATATTCGTATATACGAAGATATAGCACATAATACATAAAAACTAGATTTGCAAGAACAATTTTATCATTTTTCATCTCTATACAATTTAGGTGCATACATAGTATAAAAAGATCATGAGTTATTTTAGCAACAGGATACATACTCAATTCAAATTTTGTGAAGATAAAGAAGAAAGACGAAGAAATGTAATATAAAATTTTAGATTTTTGCCGTCGTTTCGAGCTTGTCTTGAGAGATAGGTTTAAAAGTAAATTGAGATAACTGAAGGTTGTGTTTTCATCCTCTAATACCATCAAGTCATTTAATGATATTCTCTTATGATTTACAGGTCCGTAACTTTATTCAATTCATAATTACATATGATAGGTTCGAAGAAAGAAATTTAACTCAAGTAAATGTAATGTTTTTAAATACTGAAAACAGAATACTATTAATATTGTGCAATCCTTTTATTTTAGAATCATAATCTGATAATTACACAAAAAAATTCATTAAATTAGAAGTAGTTTTTATAAATTTTTACAAATAATATTACGAGTTGGTTGCATGCCTATACTGATGCCTACTAGTGTTTCCTAAGCACGAATTCTATACAATTCCATGAATAAGATCTCTTTTATGAAAATATTTATGTCAGTCAACACTTTTTATTAAATTTTACACTGTACTGCCCGTGACTTAATCCATTAACTTCAAGAACTCTTTTTTTCTTTAAATCAATATTTCCATTTTAGTTACATACAAATATAGACACTTAGCTCTTCAATCTGTGTCTGATTCCTAAACATGATATCAAAAAATAAACAAAAAAATGATTGATCGATTTTTGATCGTATTGGAGTTAAAGGCTTTTTGTATAAACTTACGCGTTTAGTAAATATAACTTAGGATCGTTAATTAAAGACAGATTTCGAAATTTCTTCAAAATTGCATTTTTCAATTTAAACATGCCGTAACATGAATATTGTCTTTACTTAATTACTTTTGTAATTGGAATCATGTGCCGCTAGAGTAATCGCCGTTTCTAGTGTAAATTTCGAATAGTATGCATTGCTATACGAGGTGGAGCTAGCCAAGATTCATTATATCTGTAGGACTGCTGACGGAAATTGTTCAACTGCTAAAAACATGTACAAAGAAGGATTCCAGAATAGACAGCTGACAAATCATAAAACATTCTAGAGTATTAACGGGCAGCTTTGCGACAGTGGATCGTCACCATGCTTGCAGGCATGATGTAAACTGGGAAAGGTATCGCAAACATCCTGCAGTAGAAGAAACTCTAGCGCGTACAATTGAGACTAAGCCTGTCACAAATGCGAGAGTTGCTAGATTTGCAGAGAATGTGAGTCAACCAGCTGGAGGAATTTAAATGTGAAAGAAATGCATTCATATCATTTGTAGAGGATGCAAATGTTAGAGCCGCGGGTGATCATCCTGTGCGAGTTAAATGGTATACAGGCTGAAGAAAATCTTGACTTTTCTCACTGTTATTTAGTTATAAAACTATGTTTGTATACAGGCTTTTTTATAGGATCTCGAAACGATATCATTTAAAAAATTTTAATCGGCACCAGTTTTTTTTTTTATGTAACAAAATTTTCACACCTCCTTGTTCATTCTGTTGGGCACCGTTATACGAGACACACCCAGGTTTTAGATGCGAAAGTTTTAAAAAAGGGCGATTCATACATAGGGAAATACAAGAATTAAAATGGACAGATAAAGAAACCGACATATTAAGGATTCAGCAGATAGTTGTTATGTAGTTGCTCAAAAGGGTGTGATCATGGATTAGGCAGCTAATGACTGCGTAAGATTTGCAGCGGTGGTGCATGAACTGGCTAACTTAGAAAAGATATTAGGCATTTTACGCACATTTCAGAAGCTATTGATCAACTGGCCACTAGATATACGTCAGATTCCATGCTATTTTAGTAACGTGCCCTTAGAGGGAGAAATACTTTCGCATCGAATCTATTAATCGGGATTCGATGCGAAATATAAAAAGATCATGAGTTATTGTATACCGCTAGCCTGTATACTAGCGGTATACAGGATTCAGCCTGTATACCACTAGTATACAGGCTGAAGAAAATCTTGACTTTTCTCACTGTTATTTAGTTATAAAACTATGTTTGCAAGTTCAGTTATGTTTGACATCCACAATGCTCACCTTGCAGTGCAAGATAATCCACATAGAAAGAGATCTCATGCCTACCAATAAATATTCTCCATGCTGTTTAAGATGCTATTTTAGTAGTCCTAGACTTGTATAGTAGTAGTTAGGCTGGTATTTTAGTAGTTTAGGCTGGTATTTTAACACATCCTGCTTAATCCTTTGGAATTCACCACATATGGATTCTTTCTCCAAGATAACTTTCTAAAACTTCCATGTTCTTCAGTCTTTTACAGGGAATTTGTTCTAATACGATAAAATATCAGCTCCCTTCAGAACCTACTTGCGCCCTACATAAGCAAGTTTAAAATAGTCCTTGTGGTCCATTTCTATTTGTTTACTTAATTATGGGAAAGCACTCACGGGCTATCTGCCTAAAGAGAGGGACGCCTTTCTGAAGGACTTCCTAAGACTCTTATACACGTTATACATGGGAGAAAGCCAAGAAAACGCCCATGGAGTCAGCGCGCTCGTCGGGATTCGAGACCCGGGCAGAGCTACCAATGTTAAGGGCTCGGCCACTGGTGGCCCCCTTATGGTCCTATATTATTAAGTTAATTACTTACGTCCTACATTAGATCGGTAGGGGCGGATCATTTCAACACACCTGTCACCTGTTACCTGCCATCCCGATTAATAGATTCGATGCGAAAGTATTTCTCCCTCTAAGGGCACGTTACTAAAATAGCATGGAATCTGACGTATATCTAGTGGCCAGTTGATCAATAGCTTCTGAAATGTGCGTAAAATGCCTAATATCTTTTCTAAGTTAGCCAGTTCATGCACCACCGCTGCAAATCTTACGCAGTCATTAGCTGCCTAATCCATGATCACACCCTTTTGAGCAACTACATAACAACTATCTGCTGAATCCTTAATATGTCGGTTTCTTTATCTGTCCATTTTAATTCTTGTATTTCCCTATGTATGAATCGCCCTTTTTTAAAACTTTCGCATCTAAAACCTGGGTGTGTCTCGTATAACGGTGCCCAACAGAATGAACAAGGAGGTGTGAAAATTTTGTTACATAAAAAAAACTGGTGCCGATTAAAATTTTTTAAATGATATCGTTTCGAGATCCTATAAAAAAGGCTTTTTCTTGACTGTGTACTAAGTCATCTCTAACTTCAATAGAGAACCACAAAAGAATCATCCTGCTAAAAGACTGTCTACAATAAAGATGGAATGATATAATGCATTTGGGCTTTAATGCACCTTAGGTTATTGTTTCTTTTAGGAGGTACACAGATGAAGTCCAGATAATGGATGGTAATTTTTACAATGATGATGAGTTGATTTCAATAACTTTATGCAATGTTTTTCCCTATTAAATTCTAATGCAGCAGGCTAATAAAACCAGTCCGTCAACCAAATAATCCTTTATGTTATCAGGTTCAAAGTTTCTTCTACTTTCTTCGGAAACATACAATGACCTGACTAGAACAGAGAGCTTACTAAAGCTATGTTCACTAATTGTAGTAAGTGGACAGGATACAGACGAAGGGTATACAAAACCCTTTATTTTTTTCTTTATATACAATGACTTCCGTACTTCGGAATACAATGACCCTCCACTCGGGGTCTAACTTAAAAGATATCAAAATAAAACTAAACTCTAATTTAACTTTAGAATAAGATTGGCCTTATAATAACAGGAAGCGTATGTAGCACAGAGACTGTGAACACTACAATACGTTTAATTTATCAAGAGGATTAAAACCTCTGGCCTGGAAGGCAAAGTAGCAACTGCGTAACTTCTAAGGTAAGCGGCCTGCTTCGAACTCACGGCTTCCTCTCTTCTGCTTGGCAAAAAGCCACACTTAAATACTTGGCGTTCGCCAGACAACTTTGCATAAAACTCCTTCACGCTTATAATTCTGGCCGGAAGTAGAAAATAAGAAGTGATAGTAAAGATTTAAAATAAAATAAACGTTAGTAAAACTTAAGATCCTTACATACTTCCCGCCAGAGTTAATTAGTTTGAAACTGAGGTCTAAAACGACCTTGTTGAAAACTTTTAGCTCTAGAAAACTAACGCGAGGCCAAACTTTTACAAACATAACTTAGCTAGAAACTAGAAAATTTAAAAGAAAGAAATTTGTTACAATAGCAGCTCCCGGAATATACAACAATCTTTTTTCTTTTTCATCTGTACTGCATCAAACAGGAGCTTTATTCAATTGGTTCCTTCCAGAGTCTGGAAGGAAAACTAGTTTAATGAAATGTTACAGAATGACATTGTAAATAACATATAGAATATACTTTTCTTAACATTCTTATTTCATTCATGACTATTTTAATTATCTCTCCCCGTGCTCTCTGACATGTGTTGTAAAAACACCAAACACGAATGTGTTTCTGTCTATGTGTTCAACACTTCCTCCTACAATCAAAAACACTAACGTGTTAAAATTCAACATACGAGACCTCTTAACACACCCTAATTTCAAACTCTAGACCCTGAGGTACTATTCTGAAAGTGGCTAACTCTAAAGTGTAGCGTCAGAGAGCCTAACTACATCA